TATTTACTGACCAACTTAGTCTCTCAATTCCCCTCATACCTTTAAGTTTTGAAAACTAGAAGTGACAGCCTGGGAGTAAAAGTGGAAGGAAGAGCACCCTCTCATTCCCTGCTAGAGGATTATATTGCCACAGTTCTGTATGCCAGTGATAACACTGTTCAATGTTAATAATCTTGTTGTTTCCATGGACAGCAGATACAGTAAGCTTTGAAGTCCAAAATCCTTCTTTAATTCACTTCTTTAGCACTTAACTAACTTTGTGACAAAGGGAAGTCACTATTTAAGTCACATCTACCATTTCCAAAATGGAAATAATGATCTCTAGTGCACTAAGTATCTCTGATGCCTATGGGGGGAGTGGGTTGTGTAGATAGATACATAGATATAGGAGTTTATCATTAGTTGCCCGACTACTTCCATTTACTTCAGCAGGTAGTAGACGCTTATATTTATAAATAGTATGTGGTTGTTTAGAAACTATTAACTCTAAAAATGCTGTGTTCAAACACAGTATTTTTGCCTGCTAAAACGGGTCAAAATATAATCTAGGAAGCTCAAGTAAGAAACAGAAAATTAGCAGGTGTTTTCCCAAAAATGTCACACATGTAATAAATACTACCTTAAATCTACATATAAAACTTTTTTTGCAGTGACTTTTCATTTTAATTTTTATCTTTTTTATTCACTCTAATTAATATATTCATTCTCTTAACAAAAGTTAGAGACAATTCGAAAGTTTTTGGATAAAAGCAACCATTTTACTCAGTTCACACAGAGCTCAATTTCTTTACATTGGATCTTTTTTTTTTTTTTTTTTTACTTCACCTAGATCTTTTATTGCCATCTAACTTTCTTGACTTTGCATAATGAAGACTTGAAAAACTAAGTGGGGCAGCAAACATTCGAATTTGAAAAAATAATTTTGGATTTTTTTGTGTTGCAATGTATTCAAAATGCAATGCTCTTATAATTTTATTTGGATATCTTTTCCATTGCAACACACTGATATGGATTTTCAAATTTTCTGCAAAGTTGTTTTGTTTCCTGAAAAAAAATGGAATTATTTTTTGCTGGAAAAATGGCTGCTTCATGCTATACAGTCATATGTGGTTTAACAATGGGGATATGTTCAGAGAAATGTGTTGTTAGGCAACTTTATTATTGTGTAAATATCATAGAGTGTACTCACAAAAACCTAGATGGTATAGCTTATTACACACCTAGGACTACCATTGTATGGTAGTCCATCATTTACTGAAACATTGTTATGAGGTGCGTTACTATATAAGTATGTATTGATACAGCATTTTATATTAGCCACAAAAGTAAGCAATCTAAATGTACACCAGTAGGATAAGATGGTTACATAAATTATAGTATACCCATTTGATGTGATGGTCTGCATTCATTAGAAAATTTGGCTTTGTAAGATTAATGTGGTGGAAGAAAGCTCATGAGACACTTAAATGAAAATATAAAACTCTGTAGTTTTATTCCTGATTGGTATAGCTCTAATTATTATTGTATGACTCTAACTTTCCTATATATATCTATCTGAATATACGTAAGTTTATTCTGTTATTGAGAAAATGGGAAGGAAACCTATCATGTTAATTCATCCTGAGATAAATTTATTAGTGATTTTGTTTTTAATTAGAAAAAAGATAGTGTTGCTTTAAAAATAATTACTGACACATGAAATTGGAAATTACTCTCCTAAATACAGCACAATCCTTTAGAACAATTAAAAATGAAAGTACCATTCTTCAATTATTAAACCACCTTTGAAAGTAAACATCTGTGTTCTTAGGATTCTTGGATTGATGTTTGAGGAAACCGCTAAGTGACACCTCTTCAGGCCGTTGGAATTACCTCCTTCCTCCATGGCCAAAGTACTCTGTATATAGAGAGGGTTTGCTTGTCCATAATATTTTTGGTTTTCTGAATGTGGTGTTAGAACATTAATTTAGTTATTATGATTAGATTTTTAGGTATGCTCACACCATTTTAGTATCATTGAAGCAAATGTATCATTTAATAATGCTGAATAAAATCATTCTAGTACTGAAGAGTTTAGTGAAAAGGATATGATCTAAAAATATTGCTTGGTGCTCAAGCTTCTGGAACAGAATAAACCAATAATAAGCATATTTTGTAAAGGTAGGAATAACGAATTAATATATGACATTGTTCTTATAGACAACCCCAAATTCTGGTTCATAAATACAACATAAAAGATGACAAATATCACTGCTTAAGTATATAAAATATCTAGAAATAAATTTCTGCCATCACCATACATAGGCATAATTAGTATCTGCCATCTGTTTCTATATATCTTTTATGTGTTTTAGTGTTTGTTTCTAGGATAGCAAATAAATGTGTAAAATGCCAACTCACACCTGTGATTTCAGTAATCTGAATAACTGTATTCTAGTTGATCAAGCAGTTAGTTCACAAAAATTATATTTAGGTTTGAAGGCCTAAAAAGAAGACAAGTTTGTTTTTTCCTAGCAGGTATTGTAAATATACATTTAAAATGCAGTCGAGGATCCCACAAAGCAAAGTTTAAATTCAAGTTTAGTTTGGATAAGAAGAAAGGCAGAAGAAAAGAATGTCTTACCTAATTTTAAGATATAAAGCATTAAACACACAAGAAATAGTCTCAAAATAGATTTTGAGTCCATATTTTAACTACTGAAAGAAGAAAAATAAGAGAATGAAATGAAGTGAGTAAAAATGGAAAAAGAAGAAAGATAAGTGGAAGGAAAGATAGGAAGAGCCTGCTAGAATGTTTAATTGGGGAGAAAAAAATGAGAGGAGGAAGAAAGGGAGAAGATAGGGTAGAAGAAAACTGAAGGTAAGTAAAATGAAGAAAATACAAATTTTAAGAAAAAATATGAGATATAAATATAGACACACACACACACACACACACACATATATACTGCTGACAATTACAATATCAACATCTAATATTTTGTGGCACTTTGTAAAAGAGATTAGTAAGCACTCCTGTATCTATTATCGTTTGTAACCCTCTTTACAATTCTATGAGTTAGGACATTGTCTCCACTTAACAAATGAAGGATAAAGTTCAGGAAGGTAATATGAATTGTCCTACATCATACAATAACCATGTTCATAGCAGTAATTGTAGCAGCAGCAATTAATAATTGTTAAACCCATGCTCTGTGCCAGTCCGTACGCCAAGAACATAAATGAATTATATAATCCTTATAACAGAGCTTTGAGGTAATTGTCATCTCAACTTTATATATGATGAGTCTGAGGCTTGGAAAGTTTAATAACATGCTCACAGGTGAACAGGGGCAGATCCAGAATTCCAGTTGACACCATCTGACTCCCAAGCGTATCCTTCTAGTGACTATACTATAAGTCCTAGAGTTGAAAGTTGAATCCATACCTTCAAACTCCTTCCTGATACTCCTTCCATAAGGACAGACAGAGAAAAACGCACACCTTACATCCATGCACACCCCTCTCAACACCAGGGCCCAGTGTCCACTCTAGAAGTTCCATTCTTCACTTCAATATGCCCAGCTGGCTGAGTTCTCTTTCCCCTGCCCAAACTATTCCCCCCACTCCAACCTCTTGCCGTGAGCTGACCTGTCCCTGATGACATTTCCATCAGGTAATTATTTTGCTCCTTCACTTGGGTATAGAGATTCACAACAGGCCTGTCTTCCATTTTTGAGTGCCCTCAGGACCCACATATTATGTGGTTCAGGTGTACACACCAAGGAGTTTGCTCATGTAAAGAGGGTAGTGAAAGAAAAAGAATTAGATACATAAATTTCAAAAACGTACCATTGGTCAGATGATCTTAAGTTTGAGATCCAGAAATTATATTCCTCTGTTTTTACAAACAGGGAAATCTCTTGCATTCAGATAGGGTATACAATTATGAGGTAGTCACTGAATCAAAAACTATACATCTGTTTATTCAAAAAAAAAGATTGAGACCATGAATATGAGGAAGAAGGGCTTCCAGGTGTCGGCTTCACTGTTATGAAAATAAGATTGAGTTGTAGACCCAACTGTGTTAAGGAAAGGGGGAAAGAAGATATGGTGTGGTCAAATAGAAGGAACACTTAATCTATAGCCTTAAGCTAGAATCTACCACTAACTTTATCTGTGAAAATGGGCAAATCATTTATCCTCAGTTTCCTCATGTGTAAAAGAAGTATTTACCAAGAGCATTTACAAATCTAACAGCACTAATCTCTGACTAGTTGAAATAGGCACTCAAATGCTATAGTGTGTATGAGACATAGAAAGAGAAAAAGATATGTAGAGAGGAGAATATAAGAATCAGAATTTAAATGAGAATGAGAAAGAAAAAAGAAGGAGGAAGTCAATTAAATACTCACAGGATGATAAATACAGGATATAATAAAACTATAACTCGAAATAGCTTTAGTTATCAGAAATAGAATATTTTATTTGTCTTTTTTTAATGAAAGATCAAATTAGAGATCGACTTTGCCATGATATTCCCTTTTGAATAATAATCACTATCTTTTGGGAATCTCAGATTTGTGTTTTGAGGACCACAGATGTATCTGAGAAATAACAGTCTGTTTCCTTCAACATATATTCTTTCATAATTTCACTGAATGAGTATCCTTCTTTTGACAATTGATGATCTATGTCCCTGAGGGATAAAAAGAGATACATTATTTACTAGATAATTGTTCCTTTGATACATGCAAAATAAATTTCTCTTTCAATTTGACTTTCTTTCTCTAGTTGACACTTTTTGCTGATTGATTGCAAGCTAAAGGATAAATATATGTATGTTTTATGTACTTTCAAAAGTATTTCTCTAGTTTTAAACTGATAAAGAAACTGCTTTCCATCATTTAATTCTCTCATGCATAATTGAGTGGTTTTATCCTCTGAATACAAAAGGAAGATATCTTTTTAAAACTTTTTAATGCCATTATTTACCTGATTTTTTAAATTATATATTTCAGGCCCTGCTTGATACTCAGAATCTTTTACGTGCACAAATCACAAATTTTACATTCAACTTGGGATTTTCAGGGAAATTTTACCATACAGGTAAGAAAAAGGGATTAATGTGCTCATTAAGACCTCTCTGACTACTCTATTTAAAATTGCACACCCCCTCCTTCTCAACACCTTACTACATTCCCTATGTCCCTCCCCTACTTTTTCTTTATATTATTCAACTCCATTTAATATACTGTTTTTTAACCCTGGAAGAATGTAAATGGTTTGAAAGTTTATGGAATTATTTAATGACTTTCCATTTTTATTGAGCTATAATTTGTGTATATAAAAGTGCACAAAATGTGATGTTCAGTGAATTTTTACAAGGTGTATCCAGCAGTATAACCAAAAGGCAGATCCAGGCTACCAGAATTCCCCCTCCTAGTGCCCCTCACAAGAAAACTAGCTTTTCTCCAAGACAACCATTATCTTGACTTCTAATATCATGAATTAGTTTTGCCTGCTTTTGAGATGTATGCAAAAGGAGTCAAATAGTGGATTCATCTGTATTTACTTTGTTTTGTTCACCATTATTTTGGTTTTTCTTTTAGATATTATTATGTATAGATTATTCTTTCATTGTCATTGCTATATAATATTCTATTGTTTGAACATAAAAAAATTCATCCATTCCATTCTGTTGTAGATAGTTGGTTTGTTTTCAGTCTTCAGCTTTTTTTTTAATAGTCCTGTTATGAATATTTTTATACCTGTCCTTCAGAGGACTTAAGTATTCTTTTCTGTTAATTACTGACTAGGAATGGAATGGCTAGTTATGTGGCACACCTATTATCAGCTTTAGCAGAAAATACCAGTTTTTCAAACTGGTCCGTACCAATTTATATTCCAAACATCTGAGTGTTCCTGTTTCTCTTTATCTTTGCCAATATTTGCTATTGTTTGTCTTTTTAATGTTAATCTTTCTGGCAGGCATGTAGATACATCATATTAGGGTTTTAATTCACATCACATTTTTTTGATGAATATTAGTTAATTATCTTCTTTCACATGTTTATTGACTATCTGAATATCCTCTTTTGAGGAGTTCCTGGGGTTTTTTTTTAGTAGGTTGTCTGCCTTTACTTAAAGACTTGTAAAAATTCTGTATATTTTCCTTAATGAGTTGTCAGTTTTATGTGTTATAAATACTTTCTCCCGCTGTCCTGGTTGTCTTTTTTGCTCTCTTCATGGTGTTTTTGATAAACAAAAATACTTAATTTTATTGTTGTTCAATTTACTATTTTTTTCATTTATGGTCAGCTTTTTGTGTTTTATTTAAGAAATCCTTTGCATGCCTCAAGATCATAAAAATATTTTCTGCATTCTTTGAATTTATAAATCTGTGATCCATCTGGAGTTGATTTTTGTGCATGTATGAGATAGGGGTCAAGATACCTTCTTTTTTTCCAAAAAGATATCTAATTGGCACCAAGTATTGAAAAGATCATCCTTTTCTATTGCACTATAGTGTCATCATTGTCATAAGTAAGATGGTCATATATGTGTGAACTCTGTTTCTGAACTCTCTTTCCTGTTCATTGAGTTTGTCTCCATTACAGTGTCTTATTTGCTGTAACATTATGGTTAATATTAATATCTGATAGTATAAGTCATCCCGGTTTGTTCATCTTCTTCAAGATTGCCTTGCTATTCTTGTCTATTTGATTTTTTATATAAATTTTAGAATCAGCTTATCAATATTCACAAAGAAACTTGCCAGATTTTTTTCATTGAAATTGCATTAAACCTATATTCCAATCTTTGAATATATTTAAATCTTCTTCAATTGTACTCAATAAAACTTTATTGTTTTTTAATTTATTCCTTTGGATTTTTTGATGCAATGGTCAATGGTATTTTTTATTTCATTTTCCATTTGTTGATGGTATGTAAAAAGTCAGTTGATTCTGCGCATTGATCTTGTGTCTAGTAACCTTGCTACACTCCGTTATTAATTCTATAGTTAGTCTGTAGACTCTTTTGTATTTTCTACCCATACAATCATTGTAAGTTTTGAACAGTGCCAATTTTATTTCTTTCTTTCCAAGCCTGTGAATTTTACTTCTTTTTGATGCTTACTGCACTGGCTTGGATCTTCAGGACAATATTAAATAAAAGTCATTATGATAGGATGCATGCCTTGCTCCTGACCTTAGGAGAAAATCTTTCAATAGATTTGTTCCTGTTCTCCAGGGGGATTCTTTTAATAGACTATTTTGTAGCCGCTCTGTATCTTCATTGCTCCTAGATTTCTAAATTGTATCATGAATGGATATTGACGGCACTTTGTTGTTAAATTATTTATCTATGTTTTCTTCTCTAATTAAAATGAATACTCCATGAGGATGTTACCACTATAATACCAGAAACTAGAACGATGGCTATTAAAAAATGGATTAATGAACAGATTATTTAGTGATAGTAAAATTATATTTATTTTGACTATTAGTACTTATATGGAACAAGGTCAGAGAATAAAATTTCACCATGTTGTATTGTGAAAAAAAAAAAGTCACTCTAAATATTGAAATTAAAAAGTCTTTTCCCCAAACATAATTAATATAATCAAATATATCTTGACTTTCCTGAGGATAGCTGAACACAATTTCATGATTGAATGAATCAGTCTTTACTTTTAGAACTTAAAAAGAAAGAGACTACGTATAATGGTATATCCATATAATGGAGTAGTCTGCAGTCATTAAAAAGAGAGTTTTAAATGTAACTAATACAGAAAGAGCTCTCAAGAAGCACCTTGAAACCTGAAAGTACAGTACAGTGACTAGAACACGCTACCATTTGTATAAAAACAAAAGAGGAGGTGAAATCCAGATATAGAACTCTTAATTTATTTTATTGCTTAGAAAATCAAGTTAGAGTAGTTAAGTAACTTGTCCACAGTCACACAGCTATTAATAAAGACATAGACTATCTCTGAAAGAATTCATAATAAGCTGGTATGAATGAGTATCTGTGGAGAAGGGAATTTGGGAATTAAATAGCAGAGATGAAAAAAGAATCACTTTTTACTATACTGCTTTTGAAACTTTTGCATGTTGTATACCATGTGTATGTGTATGAGATCTATTTAAATGAATAAACATATAAGTAATTTTAAAGTGATATTAAAAAAATTTATCAAATAATTTTCTTTTCTTTTCTTTTCTTTTCTTTTTCTTTGTCTTTGTCTGTTTTTTTTGAGTCTAAATCTCACTCTGTTGCTCAGGCTGGAGTGCATTGGCACGCTCACAGCCACTGTGCAGCCTTCCAAGTAGCTGGAACTACAGACACGTACCACCATGCCTGGCTTATTTTTTTATTTATTGTAGAGATGAGGTCTTACCAAGTTGCCCAAGCTGATCTCAAACCCCTGAGCTCAGGCAGTCCTCTCGCCTCGGCCTCCCAAAGTGCTGGGATTATAGACTTGAGCCACCGCGCCCAGCCTTGTAAAATAGTTTTCTATAACTGCAAATACTTTTCAAATTTTTAATTTGATAATATGATCATGAGTTATTTTGTGTGGTTTGATAAGCATCTTCAAGGGGTCAATAAGCACATAGTGGTAAAAATTGTATTTATATACTAACATCAATATAATTTCCATTGGCACAGGAAAACAGAAATAGTATTTCGTTTTTAGATAAAGGTGATATTGCATTTTTGAAGTAAGTGAATTTTCATTTGTTCCCATGGAGGCTATGGAATTATGAGACTTGACTCTAGTATGCTGTACACTATACAATTATATAATACATACAACATGTATAGTCATGCAACTACATAGAACTTTTGGTTCTCAGTATGAAAATTTTGTAGGTTCTTTGAGTAACCCTAACATAAGAAGCCCTGAAGACATTATTTCCCTAAATTTCTTAGATCAATATATAAGATACACTTTTCTGTGATCATTTTATTTATTTATTTATTTTTTTTTTTGAGTTGGAGTCTCACTCTGTCACCCAGACTGTAGTGCACTGGCCGCTCCCGGCCACCACAGCCTCGACCTGCTGGGCTCCGGCGATCCTTCCACCTCAGCTTTCCAAGTAGCTGTCTGTGATCATTTTAAATATTAACAACTGAGAACTTCACGGTCATGGTTTGATTTTGTTTTATGATTCAGTGAATTACTGTCCTTACCATCACCTCAAAAATGAAAACACAATTAGAGCCCTATTCTAAATCACTCATTTATAGGAAAGTTCTGCTACCTTGGCATACAAATATGAAATGAGAACTTTCTCTTTATATGAAGAAGTTTAGTTCTTCTTTTTAGCAAAGTTAGACTCACAGCATGACTACATTTCACAATGGGGAGCCCCAGGAGCTTAAGGAAATAAAAGATTGTCAATAACTCCTTCCTAAACATATCCTAATTTCACAATATCTTAGATTATTTGATATCCTTCAATGAAAACAAAATTACAATCTAGATATATAATCACCAGGGCAAGAAAGGACATGTAGAATATGTGGTATATTTAGGGGAGAGAGGTAGATAATAGGAAGAGCCATAGTAGCAAAACTGGGACAGATTCACCAAAAAATACAAGAAAACACTTCTGATAACTCTATTTTGTTTTTTCTCTCCCCAACACTGAATGCTGGAGAATGACTCTAGCCAGACCATGCCCTCTCTTCTCATCTTTGAAAAATCTGTCCTATATTTTCACTTGGGCACTTCCACAGCTCATAAGAGTATCACCTCTCTAAGCCAGGGAAAGTACAACACAGGAAAAAGCTGAGGCCAAGGTTTGAAGGGATATTGATATCTGTGTATAATATGACAGCTTCCACAAAACTGTAGCCAGTGTTGTCTAAGACTGATAAAATCATTTTTCAGTGGGAACAGATATAATATGTAATACTTAATCTTCCAAAAATTAGATATTATAAAATTTATTTAAATTATATTGTCTTCTTTTCTAAATGAGTAATTTCTTTTCCTATTAAAAATTCTATTTATTTTATTTAGTGTTGAAGGAAATGAAAAAAACAGCAATGTCATAATAGTAGGACTTTGTTTCAAGAGAGAGCTTTATCTTGTTTGGTTTATTTTAATTTTTGAAGGGTATATGCCTTTATGTGAGAAATAAAGATGAAGAAGATAAAAATTATAGTTTCCTTTTAATGCTTTGCCAGGCACTTTTTATTTACCTTCTTATTGAATCCTAGAAATTAAAGAATAAGTTATGTTGTTTTCCAGATAAGAACATAGAAACTTAGAGAGGCCCAAGATCATATAGCTAGTTAAGTGTCACAGTCTGAACTCTAATTCAGTCAGAACCCAGTGCTTATGCATTAGAAAAACTGGTCTTTTATTTTTTAATTGGCAATCCTTGATTAGTGAAAATGAGTGGCAAAATATTTCCCTTATTTATAGGCTTGTTGACTACCCTAAGTCACTGAGAGCCAGTCGTATCCATAAATTCTAATTACATCATAGAATTAATCAACAACGTGAAGAGCAATGTTGTATTGAACTAGTAAATGCTGATCTTATTTCTAGACTCCACATTTGGTTAGCAAATGATAGTTAAGAGCCCTGAATTTGGAGTTGCTGAATCTGAGTTAGAATTTAGATTCTGTTTCAAACCTCTTCGTGACTTGGAACAAATTACTGCACCTCTCCAAATATCAATTTTCTTATCTGTAATACAAGATTGGCAGTGGCCCTTATCTCACTGAGTTGTTGTGAGAATTAAATGAGGAGGATATTTGATAAGTACTTAACACAATGCTTGATACAAGGTACAGTCTCAATCAATGATAGTTTTTAATATAATATCAGAATAGGAAATACTACATATAAAATACTACAAATGAGTTATTTAAATACATAATAAAATAAATTATAGTTTGCAATAACTTTATAATGTTTCGGCATAATTTTCTGAAAACTTTAAAAATGGTACTAAAAATAGAGGAATTTGACTTTTATTATTTTTTTCTTCCTCCAGTTCTGACAAAGGTGGATAGATAGGAAAGCGAAGGAGGGATGAGAGTTCAGGACAGTCCAACCGTGAACAATTACATCTCAACTGCCTTTTATCATTACGTTTAAAGTAATAAGCAACAGATACTTTTTCTCAATAACTTAAAAACATTCCCAAAGTAGGATTAAAAGAAATCAGATAAAACAGAACTATAAAAAGAAGAGAAGATGTATAATTATCCCTACTATGAATTGAGATAAATATGACAGAAGGCAAACATAATTTGTCTAACTCTTGCATGATTCAAGCATATGAATATTTTCACCACAGATTTCACCGTAATGTTCAGGAATGGACAACAAATGCTTGAGCTATCTTTCCAAAGAACCCTGAGATCTGTTGCTCTGCTCTGATAAATAAACATTGAGCAAAGGCCGGCTAAAAATGATGAATAAAGTAAAGATGCAGAGAAAGATAAGAGTTATAGAGATGGGGAATAGAACTTATAATCAGTAGTCAGGCCGGGCTCCGTGGCTTAGCCTGTAATCCCACGCTTTGGGAGGCTGAAGTGAGTGGATTGCCTGAGCCCGCGGGTTCAAGACCCATCTGGGCAACTTGGCGAGACCTCATCTCTACAATAAATCAAAAATTAGCCAGGCGTGGTAGCACACACCTGTAGTTCCAGCTACTTGGAAGTCTGAGGTGGAAGGATCGCCGGAGCCCAGCAGGTCGAGGCTGCAGTGGCCGGGAGCAGCCACTGCACTCCAGTCTGGGTGACAGAGTGAGACTCCAACTCAAAAAACAAACAAACGAAAAAAAAAACAGTAGTCAGGGAGACCTCCCATAAACTAGGGACTCTCTGCTCACTTCCTCCATGCTCACCCTGCAGAGGAGATGGAAATCAGGAGTAAATTATTTATTGGGAAACCCCAAGGGACTCTGTACGTTTTCAGTGTGAGAAAGTAAAACTGCAGTAAATAACTGACTTAACTAATATGGTGTCCTGGAGATGTACAAAATGTTAAGCTATGGTAAAGTATCTTAGATATATAGAAATGTTTAAATGCAGAAAAACCAAATGACATCATCTTTTTTTTAAAAAAATGTGTTTAAGCATCACCAGTCACACTAACCAAATGTGTCTTTAACAAGACCACCTTGTTTATCACCTAAAAGGCAGTAGGACCCAAGATCCTGCCATGATTGATATCATCAGAGTTTCTAAACTCCTGAATCCATATTCCTAATTTTTGCATTTCTCTCCAGAAAGCTTCCCTGAGCTTTAAGATAACCAGCCATGACTGGGCGCGGTGGCTCAAGCCTATAATCCCAGTGCTTTGGGAGGCCAAGGGGAGAGGATTGCCTGAGCCCATGAGTTCGAGACCAGCCTGGGCAACATGGTGAGACCTTGTCTCTACAATAAATCAAAAAATTAGCTGGGCGTGGTAGCATGCTGCTGTAGTTCCAGCTACTTGGAAGGCTGAGGCGGAAGGATCACCTGAGCCCAGAAGGTCAAGGCTGAGGTGGCTGGGAGCGTGCCACTGCAATTTAGCCTGGGCAACAGAGTGAAACTCTAACTCAAAAAAAAAAGATAACCAACTATTCAGAAATCCCCAAAATGCTTCATATTGGTGACTCATTAATCAAGCCAATGAGTTAATATAGTGACTTGGTCACTTCTTAAACACAATGCTCCCTCTACCACATATCACTCATGTGAAAACTGCCCCTCCCTTCATCTAGTATTATAGTAGGGGGAAAATACCCAAGGATACATGCAAAGAAATACAAGAAGAATAGAAATAGAAAATACGAAAGGAAAGAAAGGGGCATTATAGGCTCCCAAATATGTGCCAGAACCATGTAGATGCTTCCTTTCAAAAAGAATAAAATAGGTATTACTATATATCTTTTTACCTATATGAACATAGACATTAAGGGGTTATGTGACTTGGCCATAATCAGAAAACTCAAATGTGTTGAAACCTACAAGTAAACTAAAAAATTCTCTGACTTCTAAGGCTATACTTGTTCCATTATGCTATGGTAACAAGTATATGATGAAGAGGAAAAAATAAAGAAAATAAAACATTGGATTTAAAGATGTAATCTTTATATGTAGGGGGAAAAGTTTCTTTCTATCAGTAGAGTACTTAAGCACATGAAAGTGAAATTGAAGATTGTCCTTGTTGAAAGATTATGTTATTCCACTCATTCTACATCACTCAATCTTTGTTTCTCCTGTATAAATTTGAATGATTATAAAGCCTCACACTACACCTTTATCTTTGGTGAATCATTTTTAATGCCCAATAAATAGCAGGACCTGATTCTTTTCCTGCCAACAGGCTCCCCTTTTTTCTCTTGGGAAAAACTGAATGAAAGGACAGTGGTAACAGGAACTGACTCAGTTGACTAGGACAGCAGTCTATCCTCCATCTTTAGCCTGCAGGGCCCTAACAAAACCAGTTACATCAAAGTCGCCATTAAAATATGAGAAGAGATTTTCTCCACACAGAAGGGACATCATAGGAAGAACACACTTCTCTGAGAGCTTATTGGATTCAATGTTGTGACTGAAATTCAAGTGTGGCTGCGTAATTTTTAGATGATTAGTATCATCTTAAGATATGCCAGGGCAGTAGTGAGCACCTTATACTGCTCTCATTTTAAACTTTAGTGAAGAAGCTATGCGTGGGAAAATAGAAAAAAAGACTCTTAGTTCCTCAAATAAGTCAAGAGACCAGTGAAATTCCGGCACTCAACTGAACTGCAGATCAGGGGAAATGGAGGAGATATAGCAAGCTCAGATATGAAAAATCAGAGAAATAACAACAGGGCTCACTCCTGAAATCAGAGTTTTATCCTGGAAAGTCTATTTCCAACAACTTGAGAGCATGTAGAACATGATGAATACCACCAAGGAACAGGTTGGACTGTTTTACTATGACTTCCCCACACCTTAGCGTCTGTCTGTCCTTTCAGTCTTTTTCCTTTCTTTTCTTCAGTTTTTTCTAATTTTTCCAGTAACAATTTCCACATTTCCTTCTTTTCTCCTTTTTAGGCCTTAGTGTTCACCAAATACTGAGTAACTTATTTTCCCACCTAAGAAAGAACTCAAATAAAATAGAGGATTATTTTGTTGTGACCCTATACACAGACCATGACAAAGTGGCCTACTGTTGAAGCTCTGACACACAGTTCCTAACTCATATTCTTTCAGTTACATTTCCTACTTATGCCCCCATTATCTCCAAACTACATATTGCACAAAGAGTCTAAATATTAGGAGTCTAATGTCTCTGGGAATAGTTGTGTATTTCCATCTTGCAGTGATTTCATATCCATGTTTCATGCTTAATAACTTTTAAAAGAGTTTTGTCAAGCCGGGCTCGGTGGCTCAGCCTGTAATCCCGCTCCTTTGGGAGGCTGAGGTGAGTGGATTGCCTGAGCCCGCGGGTTCGAGACCCACCTGGGCAGAGAGACCTCATCTCTACAATAAATCAAAAAATCAGCCGGACGTGGTAGTGCATGCTTGTAATTCCGGCTACTCCGAAGGCTGAGGCGGAAGGATCGCCGGAGCCCAGCAGGTCGAGGCTGCGGTGGCCAGGAGCGGCCACTGCACTCCAGTCTGGGCGACAGAGTGAGACTCCAACTCAAAAAAAAAAAAAAAAGGTTTGTCACAGTCTCCAATTGTTTCCTAGCAGATTTTTCATTTGCTACCTTTCAAGTTCAAAGTCTTATATGTATGCAAGGTAGTATACGTGATGTCTTCTAAATAGAGATATACAAGTAGATAAATAGGTAAACAGATGATAGATTAGTGTAACTAGATTAATTGAATAATCTTTTCCCCCCCAAAGGAACTGAAGAGGAAGATGAAGGAGATGACTGTCTGTTGGGGTCTGTGGATGAGTTCTGGTGGTTTCCTCACATGTGGAGCCATATGCAGCCCCACCTCTTCCACAATGAGTCATCTTTGGTGGAGCAGATGATTCTCAACAAAAAATTTGCCTTAGTAAGTAACTCACTTTGACTGCCACACTGAACTAATATATACTGATTAGAAAATGACAAGGCTTATTATATTAAAAAGCTCTTCAAGGTTTTTGGAATATTGTCACTTATTAAGCAGGTTTTCTATGTGATCATTAAGAAGATCTTGGTATTGCAGCCTTTCAGTATGTGGCTCTTGGGTTTGCTCATCACAGTGCTTAATGTCTGAGGGCTCTGATTTAAGAGGGATTTCACAAGATACAAGACTCATTATGACATTATGGTCAGAGCTCCTAAGACATGGCTCCTGTCCAAAAGGAGCTTCCTGTGGCACTGGGGAGGCGGAAATATGCATATTAAAAAATTCTCTAGCAAAATGAGATATTTCATAACCTAGTACCGAACTGTATGAACATAAACCCACAATTCAAAGAAATAGGCATCAGTGGGAGTGGCCAGGGACATGTTCTTATGGAAATGGGATTTCAGGTACACCCTTTAACAGGAATAAGATTTAGATGCCAGGATGATTTGGAGTGAAATGAAGCTGAGGGAAAAGACCAGGTGGGAAACCATAATGTCGGCATGAGGTAATGAAAGCTCAATCTAAAAAGGCAATGAAAGTGGAAAGAAAAGCATTTAAAAGACATTGCAAACATATATGTTAAATGAATGCAACATTCACTTTGTTGAAGCAAGGTTCACTGTTTAATATTTAAGGTTTATGATTCAGGACGTGGAAACTTACAACCAAAATTTTAGTAAGTAACTATGAGAAAAAATGTGCTTGTAATCAGAGACTACTGATGCCCACTTACATGGAATGGTATTCTACAGCAACTTCTGGAGCCAAGAAGTTTTAGTTGATGCTCATGGTCCCTTACTCAAACTTACACAAGAAAGAGTTAGAATTTATAATTTTTTAAATGAGGATACAAAAGATCAAATACTTTATGGATAGCAACATCAGGAACCCATACTTATCTTTTAACTTCGATTTATTCCCCAAAATAAGCAAATAGCTTCAGGTGTACCTTTGCCATGCATTTTGATATTTCATCAAGAAAGCAAGAATAGTGTTCCTCCATGCCAATATTGTGAAAATGTTTTAACAGTTTTTGCAAAGTCCTGTGAGATGAAGAGTCACCTTTTTCCCAAAAAAATATAAACAGGAATAGTAAACACTAAAATTGGGTAAACTGTGCTGCAATTTCTAATAGAGAGTACTAAGTGTCCTATCTCGATGTAGCAAACATTAATATTGTCATCTTCAGAAGCTTAAAACTGCTGATATTAGCAGTGTTAATCAGCAAGAGATGATGTGAAGAAAAAAATTCCTTTCTGTGGAGGAAAAGAGTAAGGAATTTATGAGGGAAGATAATAGGTAAATATAGTACAAGAAAGCATCCGTAAAAGATAAAATACTAAGAAGTGAGGAATGAGGTTTTTGTTATTATTGTTTTGATAGCCTTGAAAACATAATATTTCAAGGCAGGTTTGACAAAAAACATGATATTCACTTTTATATCTCCTGAAACTAGAACAGTATCTAGGAGTTCAATCATTACTTGAATTAACAAATCAGTTAATGCCCAAATTATGTTTATATTTAAAATAATTATAAATATTTGAGAGTACATATAGTATGTATCGGCATGCACAAGAGTTATATGCACTTTTTAATATTTCCAACTAAAAAGTATCATGAATGAAAGAATAATTCACAATCAAAATCTGGTCATTCTTAACCTCCTAACATAAGTACCAAGCAAAGGAGACTTCTTAGAAATGTTATTCCTAACTACATGTTGCCAATTCAAATTATGGTTTTGAAGCAGTAGAGAGCAGGCATAACCTTCAGAGATAAGACCAAATGTATTCTTTAATGTTTAATCAAACACAAAACGAGATAATTTTGTTATTGTTGTTTGTTGGGAGAGGATAGATAAGATAAAACTGAATCAAGGACTAGTCTCTCCCCAGCCATAACAACATGAAAGAGAATATACAGGTAAAGCATTTGGGAACAATGATTAGCATGTAACACTCAATAGATGGCAGCTGTTATTTTTATTAAGATTATGTTTATTTTCAAAAAACTATCATCTTTAATTTTTGCCTCGTCTCTTGAAGTGTTTGAAGTGACTGGTAAGAGGGACACAGTCCTTCAGTTTACTTATTTATTTTTATTTAACCCAATAGATTTTTGCTCATTTCTCTGCATACCAAGGTGTGGAATTCCAGAAACCATTAGCATATAATCTAAAGGTGAACTCATCAGTAACCATTTCCTATGTTTGTTTTTAGGTGAGGCAATACTTTTTTTTTTTACTGCAACTTGATTTTGGTCTTGGCTTTAAGTGTGCCCACCACCTAAAAGCTTATCTTGTACTGGGATAGCATTTGCTTAATGTAAATTTTACATAATTTATAAATATGAGTTAATCTTCTACTTCCCATTAAGGCATTGAGTTACAAAACTATATTGCTGCTAAATTTAAAGATGAAGTAAGAAAATATAAAGGATTTTCATTTTTTACATTTTCTGTATTCCTTTAATTATCAAATCAATCTTGAATTGTAAGTATATTTATACTCCCATTATAGATGAGGAACCTGAGAATCAGAGAAATGCAGTGACTTGCGTAATTGCAGTGTTAGGTCTTCTTCTGCAGTATAAATTGTACCCCCAGGCTTCCTCACTAATCTCCCAACCCAGTTCACAGGTGAAAATTTAGATTGCTTTTCTGTCTAGTAATCCAAGGAAATGCCTGATGTTCCTGGTAATAGAAAGGAAATAGAGAACTTGATGTGGAACTCAAGTTGTCCCTCAAATTCCCTAAAGTTCCCTAATAGAGGCAGAGTCTCTAAAATATTGGGGAGATAGACAAACAAGTGAATCTGAGGACATTTTCCACATGACCAAATATCATTTATCATATATAGACATAGAAGCCACTTTAATTCAAAGGAAATTATCCTAGAGGAAATTCCACCTCAACTCACCAGATGGGATAAGCAAATGCTAATATTGCATTTTTAAATTGAATAACATCCTGCTTTTCTTCACCATCTTGGGGGCTCTTGTTATTTAAAATGAGCATGAGTGTTTCCCAGTGAAGAAATTGAAAGATGCAATGCAGCCGGGCTCGGTGGCTCAGCCTGTAATCCCGCGCCTTTGGGAGGCTGAGGTGAGTGGATTG